AACCTTAAACCTTAAACCCTAGACCTTAAACCCTAAACCCTAAACCCTAAACAACCGCAGGCGAGGTGCTCTGCCTGGGAAGGGCTGAACAAAGGACTCGAACTCCAGCCCTCAGCACGGACAGAGTTCGCGGTGTCAGCGAAATACGTCGGAAAGCCGACAGTAATGGTGAGCCACAGTTGCTGAATCGCATTCAACCCATCGATTTTGAGCCCCTGAACCCTAAACCCAAAAGGGTTTTCTTCGGGTGAGTAGCTCGATGCAGGGGCAGGTCAGGGTCTTAGCTCTTGCTTGTTTCCATGACTCAGGTTGGGCTAGCCCGTACTCCCAGCTCATGGCCATTTTGAAGCGCTATGATGAGAATACAAACAGGAACAACTTCTTCTGGATTGATGTTTTCAGCATGAACCAGCACGATTTTGCCAACCTCAGTGGAGCGAAGTTTTCAGACGTCCATCGCTCTGCGAGTGTTTACGACACCATGTTGGTAGCCCTGACCCGATCCATCAAAGTGCCCGGACGCATGCTGCTGGCTCTCACGCCGCATGAGCAGCCGTCGCTCCTGTCAAGGCGACTGCTGAGAATCCTGGCACTCCCATCAATTTCAACCCCCACTTTTAAAGCCCTAGGACCTACCGGAACAACTTCCAAAACCTTACTCGCCCTTCCCTAACCCTTCAGGGCATGGTGTTTGTACGAGATCTACATTGCTTGGACAGTCGGGGCAGAGGTCTGCTGCGGCTTCGTGCCGGAAGCGGAGCAATCCGTGAAGAGGAGCCTGCTGCGAGACGATGTGCTGATCAACCAGATGCTGGATTCTGTCGACGCGGAGAAGTCTCGCGCCACGGTGGAAAGCGACAGAGCCATGATTATGGAGTTGATCGCGGCAGCAGGCATAAGTAATTTTAATTCTTTCGTCCGGAAGCAGTTGCAAGCTTCTTTGCGCATGCTTGCCGTTACCACACTGCTGAAAATCAGGACTGCAGACTCCACAAACGTGGAAGCTGCAGCGGTAACGGCCGACCCTAGCAGCCCCAATTCACTCGCAACGCGTAGTCAGTTCCTCCACGCCGATGCCTTGTTCCACTCCGAGGAGGAGGCTCCTTCGGAGGCGGATCTCTATGCACTCGTGGAGTCGATCGAGCCCTTATCTTTTCAAGCGAACGTCGGAGACCTGGGATCCTTTTCGGTGTGACCGCAAAAAAGGAAGGGCGGGGGGGGGGGCGCGCGCGCGCGCGCGTTTTTTGGGGATGCAAGGGGTTTAGGGTTTGGGGGTTTGGGGGTTTAGGGTTTAGGGTGTCTGAAGGAGCGGAACTGTGGCGTTTTTCAGGTGTTGCAAGTACCCAGTCTGATTCCCAAGGACTTCTTGCACTTCATCCCCAACTGTGGGCATAGAACCCCAACTAATCCCTAAACCCCTCAACCCTGGACTCTAGACCCTAGACCCGAAACTTCCTAAGCCCTAAACCCTAAGGCTTGAACCCTAAACCCTTAACCCGGAACCCTAACTTTGAGGTCAGCGGCCTTGGTATCTAATCCCCAGAACTCGAAAAAACTGGGTTTACGGATGTGCGTTTCGTTTGTTACACCCTTCAGTTTGCACACAGCCTTCAACTGCATCCTAAACCCTACCTGTAACCGAAAAGACCTACCTTTCTAGGGTTCCTTATTATGTTTTCTACATAGAGTTCCTTAAAAAGGTAGGTCTTTTCGGTTACAGGTAAGCCCTAAAGCCTCCAAGTTGCATCCTCCACCCCAAACCCTTAAGCCTTTGAGCTGCCACCTCAGCCCTAGATCCGTAAAGCTGCACATCACTAAGTGAACCGTCATTGCTAAGATGAGGGTACTTCAGTTCAGAGGGTCCTAGTAACCTAGTAAAGGATAGACAGATCGCTTAAGGTACCTGCTTTCTGGGGTTCCTGTTCAATGGCTAGAGTATGGGCCCCTGTCATAGCCAAAGTTTAAGGACAGCCATGACGAGCATCCTTACTTAAAGGCTCCTGCGACTTAGTGAATCGGGGTTAGTAAGCAGGGTAAGTTACGTCCTCTAATCCTCCAAGTATTGCTGACCTCCGCAGGAGTCCCTAAACCCCTAAACCCTAAACCCTAAACCCCTAAACCCTAAACCCTAAACCCTAAACCCCTAAACCCCTAAACCCTAGACCCTAAACCCTGCAGCCATCTTGTGATCTCGGGAAGGCAGGGGGCAGATCCAACACTTTGGTAGCCATGGGAGCAGGGGCCTCCGCTCATAAGGCGCATGGCGCCGATTGTAAGTGAGGGCGAGTTTTTGTGCTGAAGGGTTTTCGTCTTTGCAGCTTAAGACATATGATTGTTGAATTCTGTGCTGAAGGTTCGCATGCATGGCCTTGACGTGCAATGTCGAAGGTCTAAGGTTTAGGTTTGGGTTTTGTTGAGCCTCGGGGCGCGGAAATCTAAGCTGGACTGCATTGGTGGGGGCTTGATGCGGTGTTTCGCAGGTGTGGACACTGCTGCTGCCCTGGTCCCGGGGATGCTAAACATGTCTCTTTGGACATGTAGACATGAGCTTCGGCAGAGGTATGTCTGCTAGACTCGACCTGAGTCCTCAAGCCCCAAGCCGAAGATCCTAAAGCCCTCGCAGCCGTGCATCCCCCAGCAACCTAGGCCTCTGCACTCTCAGCTCGCAGCCTTCGCAGGCTCTCTGGGAGAATGCAAGCCAGAACGACCTCAACGACTTTGTGAAGGGCCTTTCCAAGGCCACCGGCTATGCTGTAGCCTTGTTGTTTAGGGTTTAGGGTTTAGGGTTGTTCTTCTGAATACCGGGCTACAATCCTTTCCTAGCTGTGGTACTCATGCTGCTGCACCCACAGTGAAGGACTATGGCGATAGCAATGAGGGTATTGGCGGAGGGTGTTCATCTTAGAAGGTCGAAACTCGAGGATGCAGAAGAGGAGGAGGAGGAGGAGGTTAGGCATAGTTTCGATCACAGTCCTACTGATCGAGCTTCTTCTTGCAGGAAGAGGCCGCAAAGCTGGCAGCGGCTCTCCAGGCGCGCCACGTTGCCGCACCGCTTGGCATCCGTGCTGCTGGGCCATTCTTAACGTTAGGGTTTCAGCAGCTGTGCTTTGTGCGTTTCGAGGTCCGAACCCCAACCTTCATGGATACGACGAAGAAGAGCCCGAGTGCTGCAGCCCAAATCCTGTACGTGGGTCCGAGATCGGAAATGCCCTAAACCCTTAAGTCCCTCACCCCTGTATGCATGGCATGGTAGCTCTTCCAATGCCATTTGTAGTACCGTATAGCAACTCTTCTAGTGCTCTTACGGTAGGTAGCCCCTGGAACACCCTTCTAGTAGCCCTTATAGTGCCTTCTATACTACTACCCGCCACCTCCCCCCCCCCCAAAAAAAAAGAAAGGAGCACCATCTCGCACGCTTACAGTAGTCCTTATCGTAACCTTGTAGTAGGTCTTGTGGCAACCTCTATACCACCCCCCCAAAAAGGAATGCCACGCCTTCTTGGGCTTTGGACCAAGGAGATGTCGGCACTCCACGCGACCCACAGCTTCAACGCATCCAAGGAGATCCCGCGCCAGGTGAGACTCAGACGCCCCCGGTTTAAGGGTTTGGGGTTTAGGGTTCAGGGTTTAGGGTTTAGGGGTTTTGGGGTTCCTGCTTGGGGTACCCTAATAAGGGTTACTATACGGTGTATGCGAGGGATTACTCAAGCTTTGACGGGTACTTCGGGGGTTACTGTTGGGAGTAGTATGAGAGGGACTGCAAGGGTTTTTATGAAACTTTACGGGATACTACGGGGGGAAAATAAGGATGCTAAAAGCGACACTGTAAGGCTTATGCAGATTGCTGTAGCTAGCAGTCCCGTAAGGGGTCCTTGCGGGTAGACGAGGCTTCTCAGACCTTCTTGGCTTGGAAGCCGTGAGAAGGCCAGAGATGGAGTTGCCCTGTTTAAGGTTTTCGGGTGCTTTGTTTAGGGGCCCCCCAAGCCTTCAGGAAAGTTGACGACAAGACACGCAACGAAGCCCCATCCATGAAGAAACCCTAAACCCTAAACCCTAAACCCCTAAACCCTAAGCCCTAAACCCTAAACCCCTAAACCCTAAACCCCTAAACCCCTAAACCCTAAACCCCTAAGCCGAAGTTTGAAGCTGAAGCCTGAAATGCTAACACTTAACCACCAGCCCTCAAGCGGATGAAGCACGGAGCTCTTGAGCAAGTGATATACGCCGTGCGCTCCAACTTCTGCAACTCTTTCCGGTTGGCATAGGAAGTTTGAGAAGGGGGGACGGTGCACTTGGGGAATTGAGTTGTGGGTTTAGGTTCGAGTTTATGCATTTAGGTTTTAGGTCTGGGATGTCGCTTTAGGGTTCAGGCTTCAAGGTTCAAGCCGAAGGGGCGGTTTATGGGACATGCTCGTTGAAGTTTACATAGCGGAAGGCCATGACCTAAAATCCCATAAGTTCGAGAATGCAAAAGTCCAAAACCCTAAAGCTTGAAGCTTTAAAAGATCCTTGTGGGCAGGGTTGTCTCGAAGTTACAAAGCTTGTAAGCCTTGGACCCGGGACTCGCAGGACGCAGGAGCCCCGCCCGAAGCCCTGAAGCCTAGGCCTAAACCCCAAATCTCGAGTCGAAACTCTCCAAGGCCCAAAATTCTCTGGTTCTTTGTAGGGAATGGAGGAATGGGTTATTAGGACTGCTTTAAGGGACCTTCAGGGACTATCATAAGGATCCATTCCCCCATTCCCTGCTAAGAACCAGAGAGAAATTCGTAGATCCCTTCCCCCCACAGGTGGTCAAGGATATCCTCGAAGGCCTGCGCAGCGTGCCCTCTTCCGCCAACACACAGCCCTGGACCATCGTGGTCGTCCAAGGCCACCTGTGAAGAGCGGGTTTCGGGGTTTGTGGTTTAGGGTGTAGGATTTAAGGGTCTGCCGTTCAGGGTCAGGGGTTTGTTTCAGGGTTTCGGGTTTAGGCCATCTGTCTGGGTTCTGCGAGTTTGATGGGAACTTTGGAGAAAGCGTCTGAAGGGCTTAGGAATCTTCAGCGGAGTCGATTGCTTGAAGGCCGTTCGTTTTGGCTTCGGTCGTTTAGGGGATCTTAAGCATGCTGCTATGTCTGTTCAGCTCTGACTTGTGCTGGCGTGCGAGTCGCTGGAGTCAAGATGAATGCGGTCGACATTTAATGTTCTGTATTTAAAGCTCATTGATGGGCGCGCTTCTGAATAGTGTCAGGGATCAGGTGGCACAGGCTCAGACATTTTGGATAGTAAGTTGATTTCCACCCCTCTGTTCAAGCATCCCGTGGTGCCTTCTTTTTCCCATTGAGTATCCAATTCACGACTTTTGCTAAAGCATCATGGTCCTTCGGACTGTGGGTTATGAGGCCTCGCAGGAGTTTATGTATGGCTTCCGAAATCTACAAAGCGTGAACCCTGCCCTACATCCTGCACCCTAAACTCTAAACTTCTAAACCCTAAAATACCAGGGTCCATCCGACTTAGGGCTCAGGGCGTTTCTTAAAATGGCTAGTTCTCCCAATTAGGGTCCCTGCCAGGTCCCGGTTACAAGGGTACCTGAAACGGGGACCCTAACTTAGAGAACTACCCTTATAGTATAGTACCCTCATAGATCCCGTTCAGGAACCCTAAAAGGACCCGAACTTAGAGAACTACCCATCCTAAACCCTAGACCCTAAACCCGAAACTGCCGAGAGCCCCGCTGACGGCACGGGCGCTCGAGGCTTCGACCGGGCCCCCCGCCCAAGCGTCTCGTCAGAACGGTGAGGGAGGGTAAAGCCTCCCGGTATACGGGACCGGAAATGACTCGGCCACGACTCACACAATCCGGGCGTCAGCCAGCCCGTCAAAATGAAGACTCCAAACCCACAACCATCGAGGCCAAATCTGTGGATTTTGGGTGTGGTTGCAGGGGGTCTGGTGGGATGCCTCCAAGGGGGTCTGGCTGACAGATTCCAGGGATCCTGGGCCGGTCCTAGGTGTTTACACTTCGAGCCAACCTCACAGGGCGGAAGGGGCAAGTTGTTTGTTGGAAACCTTGCTTCTCGTCGAGGGGCCGGCACAGGCCGCGAGGACCCACAACCCGACACCAATCCATCTCAGTTGTGGCTTGCTGTGAAGCGCTCAATTTATGCAGAGCTGCTGCGAAGGGAAGCAGAGAGCAAGAGAAAGGGGATTCGGGGGGTGAACCTTGAACCCGAATTGAGAATAGTTGGCGTGGTTGGGGCGGGACTACATGCTGATGCAACTGCGCGATTAGTGGGTGTGCCCCTATTCCGAAAGTAAAACGCGCACCCACAGCGCGCGCACTGTATACACAGCCTAAGGCCCAAACCCAAGACCCTAAACCCAGACGGAATTTATGAGTGCTGCCAGGGCCCCTCGATCTTCCTGCAAAGCCAGGAGAGCCCATGTGCAACCATGGGGTTTGATTCCATGGGACCCTAAGGGTCCAGGGTTGGGGTCTTCGTTTCGAAATTTTCCAAACCCGGGGCCTTGCACTGAAGGTGCTACCCGCAAGCTTCTCTCCGAGAAGATTGTTGCCAAGTTCGATGCTGGCGAACAGGGGGCTGCCCTGTATGCCGACCTTCCCAAGGACGGCAGGCTCTGGGGTTTGGTGCTTAGAGCTTAGGACTTAGGGTTGGGGATTTAGGGTGGAGGGTTCGGCGTTTAGGGCTTGGGGCTTGGGGCTTATGCCAGTTTGGGGCTTAGGGTGTCACGATTGAGGCTGTTTTTGTTTGGGCTTTCAAGCTTCGGGTGTGAGAGCTCCTTGCAATTCCGCCTGCGCATTTCGTGCTGTTGTCTCCCGGTTTCGTTTAGGTTCAGGGTTCCAGGGTTTGGGAGGTTTTAGACGGTTAAGATTTAGGGTTTAGGGTTTAGGGCTTTTAGGGGTTCTTCGGAAGGACAGCGGAACATTCCAACGCACTGATGCCCAGGACATGCCCGCACGCATGCAGAAAGCTGTGGATGCCTACGCGAAGGAATACGATGCCTTCCTGGGCGTGGCCCGTCCGCACATCCGACCCCTCTACAGCGCCATCCCTGATTTGTTATTTTCCCAGATCCTTCGATTCCAAAATTCCGGAGCTCTGAACCTAAAGCCCCACGTCCTAAGCGCTAAAGGATGACAAGGCAAAGCTGCGAAAGGGCTGCGAGCTGCTTGGCAGGTAAAGGGGGGTTTTAAGTTCTCTGGCCTAGAGCTTTAGGGTTTTGGGCTTTATAGAAGTTTGCGGGATTCTACCGGGGTTCTGGGAGGGTTTCTTTCAGGGTTTACGATGACCGTTGTTGGCAAGGATTTGGCAGCAAGAATTGGTACTACTGTAGTGCCTGGTCGAGCATTGCTACTATGATAAGCATCTGTTTCTGTCCCTTGCAAGCGCTGCTGTTGCTGCAAGCTACTGCTTGCTACTTGCTGCTTGCTCCTTGCTCCTTGCTCCTTGCTGCCTACTGCTAACTGCTGACGGCTTGCGGCTTGCTGCTTACCTCTTTCTGCCTACGCAGACTACTAATTGCTAGCTACTTACCACCACCACTACTGCTGCTGCTGCTGCTACTACTACTACTACTACTAGTACTAGTACTACTACTACTACTACTACTACTACTACTGCTGCTAGTAGTGCTGCTACTACTACTACTACTACTACTACTACCACCGCCACTGCCACCCACTAGTACTAGCATTACTTCTCCTCCTACTCCTTTTCCCACTCCTGCTGCTATTGCTAGTTGTCCTTTAACATTTTATCACCGCGTAGGGTTCAAAACCCGACCGAGCCCGAGCCAAGGTTCTTCGGCGCACCCCTTCATCTCGTGGTCTGTGCACCGAAGGGGCCATGCCTGGAGGAGAGTCCGCCCGTGGATGGTGTGCTGCCAGGTTGATGTTTGCCCGTGAATCTTATTGTGCGGCTATGGCTTGCTAACATCGCCGGCTGTGATAACGTACCTGATCCCCCTTGCCAGACCTTTGGAAGCAATAAGCCCCGTGACCTGAGAGCAGCAGCAAGCCGCAGCCCAATATCTGCAAATACTAGAAGCTTGCAAAGCTCCGAATCACGCAGCACCCCAACCAGTACCTGTCGTCCCTGAGCCATGAAGCAGCTATAAAGCCTAACACCCAAACCCTCAACCTCAAGCGCCTAAAACAACCCCCGAACCCTAAACCCCAAACCCAGAAGCCTTTACCCACAATTGACGCTAAAGCCCCGGGCTCAAAGAACCTCACCCAGAGACCCAAAACCCTTGAATTAAGGAATATGCCTTAAATTATATTAGGGTTCCTATTGTAGTTTAAGGTATCTTTGAATCTTGAATTAAGGAAAATGCCTTAAATCATATTAGGGTTCCTATTGTCGTTTAAGGTATCTTTGAATCTTCAAGGTTCCTTGACATGGGGTCGGCCATGACGGCCATGTCCTTCTCTGCCTTCGATCTGGGTCTCGGGGTCCACCCGCATCTTAGCTTGGGCTGTCTTTGGGTTGAGGGTTTGAGGTTGGGTTTAGGGTTTAGGGTTTAGGGTTTAGGGTTGAGGGTTTGAGGTGTTTTGTTGCTCCTTTGCTGCTTCGTTCTGGTTTAAGCTCTTTGCAATCTTGATTCTCATGATCAATGCTCCGGATTACGGCTAGGAGAGCGAGGTTTTCCAGCATGCCTCAATAGCTTGTGCCTACCATGATCGCTTGGACTGTGGCGATGACCGGAAGGGCAGTGGATGAAATTGCTGGTGATGATAGAGATGAGAGTGTGCTAGTAGCTACTATCAGAGCCATCCGCATCATTCTGGCGTTCGCAGTGCCATCATTCAAACACAGTTTGCGGCGTAAGGCTCCCATAATAAGGCACGTATAGGGACAAGGGGGTTTTACATGAGATATGTAGGTCTCCTGTCCTAAACCCTAAAGCCCTAAACCCTCCTAAAACCCTAAACCGTAAACCTTAAAATAGCTGATTTAAGCTGTAATATACGGGTATCCATGTCTTCATTGCCCAACTCGAGATGTCCTTGGATCGCGCTTACGTGACGATGAACATGACGGCAAGCGATCATGGCGACGATGTCGATACCCTAAACCGTAAAGCCCAAACCCCTAAACCCTAAACCCTAAAGCCCAAACCCTAAACCTTACGCGCTTTTCCAGGAAAACGGTTCCTCACACGCCCCACCCTTTTCCTAACCCGATAAAACCGACCCACTGGAGCTTAAACCCTAAACCCCAAAGCCCACAATTCTTAACTCTAAGCTCTAAACCTGAACCTCAAGAACGCTGGCTATGCTGCTCTTTCAGAGCCTGATTCGAGCCTAACCCGATGGACCTATTCGAGCCTGAACCTTAAATTCTACACACCTTAGGGTTTAGGTTTTAGGGTTTAGGGTGAAACCTACCGCTGAACCCTAAATCCCTGTAGGCCTATCCGACCCTTAAGCCCTAAAAGCCCAGGCAGTTCTCCCTCGCGAAATATGACGGCATCTACAAGGAGGTCCTGAAGGAGCTTCTTTGTTAGCTTTGTGGGGATTGCAGGGAGTGGGTCATGAGCCTCAACTACGGTTGATGCTATAAATCCTGCATTACCCATAATCAGGAATATACCATAACTCTCATAGTTTAGTGTCCTTAAGGTAATGCAGGATTTATATCATCAACAGCAGCCCTGCAGCTCTGCGTTTTGCTAGCTCCACGCCTTTTCAAATCGTGTTTAGTAGGAGTTGAGGGTTCAGAGGGAGGCTTACCAGCGAAGAGCTTCTTAATCTATTGAAAGCAGGACCTTTTGCCAAGGTTTGTGTTTGGAGGGTTTGAGCTTCGGAGCGTTTTTGTAGCTCTAAGTTTTGACCTGCAGGAGAAGATGCCAGATGACCATTTTGTCATCTGTGGCCTCAGCGTTGGATACCTGGAGAATGATCAGGTGCCCTGGCAAGATTTCTGAAAAAAGTGGCCTTTTGTGCTGCTGAGCTTTATGGAGGGGTTCATGGAGACCGCTAGATCTAAAGGTACACGCTAAAACCTGAACCTCAACCATCCTGTGGCTTCGCAGGTACAGGGAGTGTTGAGGGCCTGGGCTTGACTACACGTGGCATGTCTAAATAATGGGTACTGGTGTCCACTTGCCGTCCCTCTTTTTTTGTAGACCTTTGGTCATTTGTGCAGACTTGCTCTGTCTTGTTTTGGACACCACAATGCATCTCGGGGTATCCGGCTACTACAAGAAGGGGCTATGTCTACTGGGCCCCAAAACCTTAGTCTAATTACTGAGGCCCCTATATTTGGTTGTGTGCATGCATTTGGTCGCAAGAAGGCCATCCCCCGGCGCTGAACCCTTAAAGCCCTTAAGACCCTAAGCCCCAAAATTTGAGCCTGACATTTAAGCCCCAAGTCCCAAGCTGTAAACCCTAGGCCCTAGGCCTAAACCCTAAATCCTCAACCTTGAAGCCCTATACCCTAAACGCCTGAACCCTTAAACCCTGAACCCTCAACCCTGAAATCCTAAACCCTAAGCAGGATCCTCGCAAGACGCCGGGCTTTGTGCCCTCGAAGTTGAGTGTGGACGACACCACGAGGCAGAGTGGGGGTTGGGGTTGGTTTCCGTTTTGTACAGTGCAACGGTACAAAATCATGGAGAAATTGCAACTATAGCAGGTTTTACGAACCAATGCAATGCCGGACTTCACATCTTTTTGCGATGGACGCTTGCAAAACATGGAGTTTCGGCGTGTTTTGGGGTTTCGGTGCCTTAAGCGTTGGTTTTGGTTTTGTGAGAGAGGCCCGAGGCCTCAAACCCCTAAGCCCTGAGCGACTAGAGCTTTACCCTGAACCCTCAACCATAAACCCTAATCCCTAAGCCCTAAACCCTACACCCCAAGCCCTCAGACCTCGTCAGGTGGGTGAACTGCGACGCCGAGTGGCTGAAGACCCATGGAGGCGCTCCGCGCCTTTTTTTGAGGGTTTCAGGGTTCGGGGGCTTAGGGGTTCAGGTCGGGGTTTAGGGCTTAGAGTTCAAGCTTTCGTGTTCAGGGTTTAGGGCTTAGGGTTTAGGGTTTAGGGTTTAGGGCTTAGTGTTCAGGGTTGGGTTCTGCTGTTGAGGGTTTTTTTGTTTTGTGGTTCACGAATTGGGCTTAGGGGGGGCTGGGAGCATTCATTCATAATCCCTTTCGGCATTCTCAGAGTCCGTGTACGGCAGGGTTAAGAACCCAACCATGCCAGCTTCTGATCCAAACTCCACCCTAAACCCTAAACCCTAAGCCCTAAGCCCTAAACCCTAAACCCTAAACCCCTATCCCCACAACCTGAATTCTTGTGTGGTTAGAGAAGATCTGGGGTTTAAAGACGACCCTCGAACCACAAGCATGACACCACTCCAACGTTCCTGAAGGAAGGGTACCAGATCAAGGGTTTAGGGTTTAGGGTATAGGGCTTAAGGTTTAGGGTACCAGATCAAGGAATCTTCCGGCACCTTGAGTCCTAGACCTAAGGGCCCATTGTAGGGGTCTTGATGATCAGAAGAGGGTTTTGGGGTATACTAGAGTGCAACTGCAAGAAGGAACCCTCAGGAACTATGTTGGTAACTGCTGGGACTTCTATATTAAAGCCTTATAAAGCCCTCGCACCCCTAAACCCCCCAAAAGCCCCCAAATCAAGAACCCTACCCCCGAACCAACCCAATTTGATATTCCGTAGAGTTCCTTGTCATGATGTCCTGATATCCCCCTTAGAAGAAATGAAAGCCTTTTGGAATCAAAACATGAAGCTCAAACGTGGGAGTTCAGGGTGTAGGGTTTCTTAAAGCTAAGAAGTTTAGGAGTTTAGGGTTTTAGGGTTTCTTAAAGCTAAGGGGTTTAGGAGTTTAGGGTTTAGGGTTTTCAAAGCTAGGGGGCTTAGGAGTTTAGGGTTTAGGGTCGCTCGGGAAGAGGCACCGGAGCCTGGAACCCCCAAACCCGTCAACACCCCTCAAAGCCCTATGAAGGGGTTTAGGGCTTAGGGTTTAGGGTTTAGGGTTTAGGGCTTAGGGTTTAGGGAGCCTAAAAAAGAAGCTTGAGTCCTTGGCGACGTTGTTCCTTAGGGTTCGTTCGTTATTCTACCACCAAAATCTAGCTGAATATTTAAAGTGTTTAGGATAGCCTAAACCCCTGTGCGTTAAGCCGCTTGAACCCTCCCAACCGCAGCCTCCAACAATGGCAGGCCCTAAACCCTAAACCCTAAATCCCTAAACCAAAGCCTACACCCCTAATCCCTTAACCTCTAAGCCAGAGCCCCAAATCCAGAACGACAAGCCTTCTTAACCCCAGAGATGACAATCTAAACCTCAAGCTCTTCACGCACTCTGAATTCGAAGCCCCGAACGCCCAACCTTTCCGGTTTCAGGGTTTAGGGTTTAGGGTTTAGGGTTTAGGGGTTCGGACTTAGGGATTTAGGGGTTTCTGTGTCTCATAAACCCTACTGTGCAGATGCGGTGACTGGCAACAGCGAGCACGGCTTGAAGCACTTAGCCACTGGGAGCTGCTAGAGTTCTTTATTTCGGTTTTATGGGGTTCTTACCAGGCAATGCAAGGGTTGGTATTGTTTCTACATGGGATTTGATGGGGCATGTTTTGTGGTTTGCAGGTTTTGTGTTGCAATGTGATAATTGGATTGTATAACGTTTCTAAGCCTTTATTGTAAACCTAGGAATCAATACATATCCTTCTTTTTAATTAGATATGTAGTGGATTAACAGGCATGCTCATCGTAAGGCGACTCTGAAGACATGACGTTTTCTGTATCAATCAGCAGTCTGGGATACGACCTGTTTTGAACTTAAGGTCCCGGTGTTGTGAGTGGAATCGGGTTTTTGAGAGGGGAGGTTTTGGGGTTTGTGGTTTCCGGATTGGTTTGATGCTTAGGGCGCAGTGTTTAAGGCTTGGATTTAGGAACCAGGGTTTGTAGCCAAGCTTACAACTACAAGTTTTGGAAGCATAGACTCTTGTGTTTCTGAGGTTTTTCGGGTTCCGAGCCAGGACTTCGTTTGCCCTTGAGAGTCGGGTTTAGGGTTTAGGGTTCTGGATTTAGGGTTTAGGGTTCAGGGTTTAGGGTTCAGGGTTTAGGGTTCAGGTTTTAGGGTTCAGGGTTTAGGGTTTCGGGTTCACGAGTATGTACATGCTGGGGTGTAGATGTTTGATGGGTGTTCACCTTCGTTACCTGCGCAACTTTCGCGGTCTGAGAATCTGAAGTTCAAGCACTTGTCTTGCTGTGTTGTTGTGTGTTGTGGGATTTTCAGTTCTTACTGTTCTTGTCACGTTACTTTTGTTGTGTCTGCATCATAGGTACCCATATGTTGGGTTGTCATTGGCATGTACGTTCTAGCCAGGACTAAGGCGGGACAACCCTACTTACGCAAGGAACTTCTTTTCAAGGGATGCAGTTTCTCAGTCTGAGCATGTGAGTTTGGGGTTCAGGCCCACACCCCGGCTCACAACTCCCAGACCCTAAATTCAATCCCCTATTCGTAATTCCTCTCAGAATTCGAAGACCTCTGTCCTTAGACGTTTTGACCTGTGCGCCTATGCTCCTAAAGTCCTGTACCAAGAAACCCGGAATGATAGACCTTTAGGCCTTATTCCTTCAAGCCTACCCTCAACCGTCTCCTCAGCCCCAAGCCCTATGTAGTATGGCTCTTTGGGCCCAAAAGCCTTAGAATATGAGTCCTATAAGCCCTAAAGCCCTAAAGCCCTAAACCCTAAACCCTAAAACCCTACAGCCCTAAAGCCCCAAGCCTTTGAACCTTAACGCCTGTCGACCAAGGGGGCTCTAGGATTGGAGTTGCAGAGCTCGAAGGCCCCAGTAGCCAGCTTCTTCGGAGTTGTTTTGGTACAGCTCTCTTTACCTAACATGTTGACTTAGAGAAAGTTCAAGCAGGACATATTAGGCTACTGGGTCAAGCTCCATTAAAGCCTTCAAGGGTTTTCCCTTTGGAGGGTTTCTTTGCCTAAGTTTAGGCTTTGTTTAGGATGGAGGTAGGGCTATCCCAATCCCGTCACTCCCAAGCCGCGGCTGACGGAAGGTGCATTCCCGACACTGCTCCCATACCCTGGATACACCTCGGCCAGTTCCTTACGACTTCCTTGCCTCCATTCTGCGGCTTGGCAGATTTACGGCTAGGGGTGGAGGTACGAGGTTTTGAGGTCTTGTCCCGGAAAGACTCACTACTACTACTACTACTACTACTACTACTACTCCTACTACTACTACTACTACTACTACTACTGCTACTGCTACTACTTCTACTACTAGTACTAGCACTACTACTACCACTACTACCCACTACTACCACTGCTACT